ACCGCATAAACACATTTCATTACACCAAATACACAAAATAATGTTCTTTTTAGCAACATCATATGAGACCGTAAAGACCGTAAATCAATATGGTGGCTAGTTATGATGTCCCTAAGTTAGCTATGTTTTGTGAAAGTGTTGATTGCATTCATGTTGATTGTCTCATTCTCTCTCTGTGACACACACACACACACACACACACACACACTCCCCATACAGTTATGCATAAAAATACCACAGAAAGTTAGTCAATATCACACGAAGCGTGCCAGTTTTCACCTCTAAAAATAAGCATGATTACAAATGTGTTACTGATTTTATGCAACAGTTCAATAAACAAGTTTAAGAATAAGATATTTACGTTTTAGACACCATATTGCATGTAGTGCTCTATTTCGCCAACAAAAAATAATTCCAAACAAAGCCACAGCGCTGTTTTGCGTCTTTGAGCAACATGACAGCATTTTGTTCCTGAATGAATCACTTGTTTAAATGATTCGGTTCATTCGCAATGACTCGCTTATTAACAGTGACTTGCTGCCACCTACTCGCGGGGTCTGATATCATTTGTTTGGTAACAGCCCAAATGTCTTTTATTCTAATTGACTGATTAAATGTAAGAATTTGACTCAAAAGATGATGCACACTTTTAGAAAAAAAGGCTTTATAAAGGTAAAAATGTCCATAAAATGTAAAAATCAATTTAAACTTACTGGAACAGATTAATTTCCATCACTGCTGTGAACTGACCAGTACACAGAATGTGAAGAATATCAAAAACCAGTTGCGCACACACACACACACACACACACACACACCCACCCACCAGTACGTAGAGAGACATTTAAGAGGGTTTATTCTCCAAATAACTCTAATTTCATGTTGCAGAAAAATGTGTTTAGAAATTGTGTATGGTCTCTTGTTCTTGTTCCAAGTTACCTTCCTGTCCACTGATGTGTGCCTCTCACAAAAGCCACAAAGCCTTCCCAGAAGACAGTAAAGGCTTATGTTATGCTTGAGTGACTCAGACAGTAAGTACGTTTTTTATATTTAAAGAATTTGCCACTGATGATTCAAATGCGAGTTTTGCAGACATTGTTTTATGTTTATGTGGCGTGATGCAATTATTGAATTACAATAATCCGTAATTATGTCCCCACTGGGTGCAACAAATGCCTTGTTTATAATGGGTTTTCATGTTTTTGAATCGGTACACAGAATGAAGGATATCAAAAACCAGTTACACACACACACACACACACACACACACACACACAGAGTACGTAGAGAGACATTTAAGAGGGTTTGTTCTCCAAATAACTCTAATTTCATGTTGCAGAAAAATGTGTTTAGAAATTGTGTATGGACTGACTCTTGTTCTTGTTCCAAGTTACCTTCCTGTCCACTGATTTTTGCCTCTTAACAAAGCCACAAAGCCTTCCAAGAAGACAGTAAAAACTTATGTCATGCTTCAGCTTTAGTTAGGCTGAAACGTGAAAGTTAAGTTGCACGACATAAATGCAATGTTTAGGTATTATTATTTTTATTACTATTAATTTGATTTATGCCTTTGTTTTAGTTTGTACCTTTTTACCTTTTTTAAAGTAATGTGAAATTTATTTTTATATCTCTTGATTTATGCCTTAATTTTAGGTTGTAATGTTTACCTTTTTAAAGTAATGCGAAATAGATTTTTGTATTTTTATTTATTTTATTTTTATTTTATTTCTTATTTATTTATATATTTGTATTTGTATTTTGAATGTAATTTGGCAATTAAATGCATTAAATGGGTTTAGTTTTAACGGTAATTAATGTATGCAATTTCAGCAGTAAAAATATAAATTTTTCTAAAAAGGAAACAAATTAGTTGTTATTTTAAGAGACCTATCCTTGCAGGACGACTGACTGTGATGAGTCCTATCAGAATGCAGTTATATGCCCCTAAAATTCAAGATATGAGTGCAAAAATGGCCCTATGGGTTTTTATATTTGTATCATATGATAGTTTAGCAATATCGCATAAGCAAGAGTGCTGTTTTTCCCAAATATATGCACGATTGCAAATGTGATACTGATTTTATGCAACAGTTCAATAAACAAGAAGTTAATATTAAGAGACTTACGTTTTAGACACCATATTGCCTGTAGTGCTCTATTTCGGCAACAAAAAAATAATCCCAAACACCGCCACAGCGCAGTTTTGCATCTCTGAGCCAACATGACGGTGTTTCGTTCCTGAATGAATCAACCGTTTTGATTTATGCCTTAATTTTAGGTTGTAATGTTTACCTTTTTAAAGTAATGCGAAATAGATTTTTGTATTTTTATTTATTTTATTTTTATTTTATTTCTTATTTATTTATATATTTGTATTTGTATTTTGAATGTAATTTGGCAATTAAATGCATTAAATGGGTTTAGTTTTAACGGTAATTAATGTATGCAATTTCAGCAGTAAAAATATTTATTTTCCTAAAAAGGAAACAATTAGTTGTTTATTTTAAGAGACCTATCTTATTTTCTCCTGAATATCTAGTATTGCTCTTTAATAAAGAAAAATGACTTCTTATCTGATTACTCAATGAATCGATGGAATAATCGGTAGAATACTCGATTAATAAAATAATCGATAGCTACAGCCCTACTCATTTACTGCAGAGGATCCATCGGTGAGCAAGTGATGTAATGCTAAACTTCTCCAAATCAGTTCTGATGAAGAAATAAACTCATCTTCATCTTGGGTGATCTGAGTGTGAGAATTTTCAGAAAATTTAAATTTTTGGGTGAACTATTCCTTTAAGCATGGGTTTAATTTTTAATTAATAATTTTAATTAGCATTCAGTCAGTGTAATTACTACTAGAAATTTTGATATCAAAACATGTCTGTAGAGCACTCTCTCTGTATGTCTCTCAGCTCCAGTGTTGGATGACTCCACAGTGTCTCAGCTGTGTGAGATGGGTTTTCCTCTGGAGGCCTGCCGGAAGGCCGTGTACTACACAGGCAACACTGGCATCGATGCTGCTATGAACTGGGTGATGGGACACATGGAAGACCCTGGTAAATTCACTCATCAATGAGTGTCAGCTGTGAAGAGGAATTAAAGTAGAATGCAGATTTCCAGTAAAATTCTCTGTGATCTTCTGCAGATTTCTCAGCACCTTTAGTGTTGCCTGGATCTAGTTCTGCTCCTGGCACCACTCCCACGGAGAGTCTACCTGAGGAACATCTAGCAACTATTGTTTCTATGGGATTCAGTCGAGACCAGGCCACTCGCGCTCTCAGAGCTACGGTGAGACACGGCAACTGTCTCTCTTAACCCGAGGGATACAAAAAGTTTTATTGATTCATAGACCTGATACTAAAAGTGTATTGTCCCTCATTTTGCATGCAACCCAACTGCTACATTGCATACATTTTACCTCAGTATAAAAAATGTAACCTTTCTTTTAAAATTGTGACACCCAAAAAGTGGCATCACTGAGATTCTCTGGTTAAAGCATTAAAGTCACACAAATCATGGTTCTAAATTTTGGTAATTTTGGTAGATGAAAACCGGGAGGCTTGTGACTGTCCCATAGTTATTACACTGTCAAGGTCCAGAAAAGTATGAAAAGCATGGTCAGAATAGTCCATCTGCCATCAGTGGTTCAAACGTAACGTTATGAAGCGACGAGAATACTTTTTGTATGCGAAGAAAACAAAAATAACGACTTTATTGAACAATCCGTCTCCTCTATATCTGTCCGCATCACCGTAGCACCATTTTGGAGAATCTGAGCCACAAGGATGCGCTGTTTTCTTTCAAATCACAGTGTAAATACACGTAGAAAACTTGTCCTTGTGGCGTGGCTGACACAGAAGAGTGTAAGCTGCCTGCGTTCGGCTCATATTCTCCAAAATGGTGCTACGGTGATGCGGACAGACATAGAGGAGACGAATTGGTCAATAAAGTCGTTATTTTTGTTTTCATCGCATACAAAAAGTATTCTCGTTGCTTCATAACATTACGTTTGAACCACTGATGGCAGATGGACTATTCTGACCATGCTTTTCATACTTTTCTGGACCTTGACAGTGTAATAACTATGGGACAGTCACAAGCCTCCCGGTTTTCATCTAAAATATCTTAAATTGTGTTCCAAAGACGAGCGAAGCTTCTATGGGTTTGGAACGACATGAGGGTAAGTGACTAATGACAAAATTGTCATTTTGGGGTGGAGTATCCCTTTAAGGTTGACGATCAGCATGTTACAACTGCTTTCTGCTTCCTTTCACAGGCCATGTTGTTAATTAAAGATTGATGATTCAAATCCTATCTGTCAATTTCTGTATTTGTAGAATAATGTTCTCGAGCGAGCCGTGGACTGGATCTTCTCTCATCTGGATGATCTGGAGTCCATGGATGTGTCTGAGGGTGGGCGCTCAGAGGGAGGAAGTGAAACCAGTCGGGAACCTCCTCCAGGGCCGCGTGTCCGTGATGGACCAGGAAGTAGGTGTTTCTGTGGTATTTATTAAATGGTGATTTTTTGTAAACAGGATCATAAATATTTTGCTCTCTTCTCATCTTTCCCATTCTTTTGTCCTGAAGAGTACGAGCTTTTTGCGTTCATCAGTCACATGGGAACGAGCACAATGTGTGGTCATTATGTCTGCCACATAAAGAAGGACCAACAGTGAGTGAAGTTCTTTCTCCATCTCTCGCTATCATTGTTCTTTTTACAGCAATATCACTTTTTCTCAATATTAATGTTTTCATTGTTACTCTTTGCTTCTTTCAGGTGGGTAATCTTTAACGATCAGAAAGTTTGTGCCTCTGAGAAACCACCAAAGGACCTGGGCTACCTGTACTTTTACCGAAGAGTGGTGGAATAGAGTAAACTAGAATAGCATTTTCCTCACAGACACACACACACACACACTCTCACACTCATCTGTATCTGATCTACTGAAACAGTAGGCCCAGACTCCTGCTTCTAAACTGATGCACCATTTAATAAGTCAAAGCACTTCTCCATCAAATATATTCACTACCGAGAACCATAATAATGACAGAAGCGAAAAAAAAATAGATGTAGGATGTGCGGATTAGAGTGTTCATACTCAAAACGCCCATGTTGTACAATGCCTTACCACACACACACACACACACACACACACACAAACACACA